CCTAAAGTTTTAATGTCTACACTTTTAACTCGTACCCAGATTGCACTTGGTCTTTCCAAGGATCTGCCTTTCACAAATTAAAAAGACGATCAGCTAGGTACGTGAACGCGTCCACCGATCAAGGAGTGCTTGTTGCGTGTTATCCACGCTTGCGTACTAGAAAAGCGCCTGTTGGAACGTCTAAGGAACTGACTGAAACAACCACAAGGGCGTTTAAAGAAAGTTTCTAATTTGTTTCATTTAAAATAGTCAGAGTTAGAGTTCTCCTGGGTGCTTTATTGTTTGGTTGAATTGTTCCTTTGTTGCTCGAAATCTGTGCCTTGGTACCCGCAGAAGGAACGTTTTTAGAAGAGGTACCCATATCCCTATGACCCTTTGTCTCACCATCATATTGGGGAGAAAGCCATGACACTGTCGATATTTTACCATTATAATGCTTGGACAGTACGACTCGATCCGATAGCTCCTAAGTGACGGGAGTCCAAGCCAGTTCTGCTCCGATCGAGACTTTGTGAATACCAGTGACATCGCGGACATGACGTTTTTGTTTCGTGGAATTCAGGGAAAGTCCGGGATTGTTTTTCAATTACGATTTCATCACACTATTTAAGAGGCATGGAAGCCTTTGAGGTTTGACGTTTGGATTATGCTGCTTTTCAGTCGTTATTTACTCACCAGAAACAAAACGAGTACATAAATTAAGACTGCAGGAAGTCCTTAACGTACTGAGCGCTACAGACTTTGAGGTAGATATTTTCATTCAGCCAGCTGTTGTCTATGGCTTGCGTTACTTTTTCAGGGACGAGCTGACTCAATTATTTTTCATATGATGTGACGAAATAGATTGATTCACTCCTGGCGTAAACAGTTAAGAATTCATTACACAGCGAGAACGATAAAAATAGAATATCTGTTGGTGGATCACGTAGTTTTTTGCATCTTGGTACCGTTCAGGAGAGATATCGTAAAGAGAACAAATCATTTTTTTATTCAGGCACCGGAAGTTTTTTTTGTTTTTTTTAAACCTGGAACATGGACAAACTGTCGGTTGATTATTTTATACAGATACAGATGCTATTGGAATGACTCGTTTTGGTATCTCGACACCAAAAACGTACAAATTAACGTGTTTATATTTGACATTTTGGCCGGAAATCGGTTGTAACTATTCGTCTTCCAGGTTTGACCTTGTTATTAAATAAGAGCTTTNACTGTCGGTTGATTATTTTATACAGATACAGATGCTATTGGAATGACTCGTTTTGGTATCTCGACACCAAAAACGTACAAATTAACGTGTTTATATTTGACATTTTGGCCGGAAATCGGTTGTAACTATTCGGCTTCCAGGTTTGACCTTGTTATTAAATAAGAGCTTTTGTTTCTTGGAAAGCAGGGAAAGTCCCGAATTTTTCCACATTCGGCTTAAGGCACGAAAGAGCGGTTGACTTTAATTCGAGCTAAGTATTTTGGTAAAAAAGAAAATAAATAAACTCATCTTAGCTTACCTTTTTCTATTTCATATATCTTACTTGAGATTTTTATTTTCACACTACGTTTCCTGAACTGCGAATGTGTTTAATAGACTCATAATGTCTCGACCTCGATTGGTAGTGTCGTAAGATTTCTAAAGTTCGAAGGAAACTGTTTGAAGAGCTCAAACAATCAAATCGTTTTGCCTTTACGAAATGTACTCCCTTTTATAGAA